ATTTTGTTAAAAATAGCAAGCTGAAATATCAACGACCTTCGACTTTACATGAGCAGGTCCCCGAATCTGAATAACAGCTTTGTTCCATTTATTCTTGATTACAAAAAGGATGAAGTCAACTTGGTGATCAAATTGACCTCACTTCGTTGAACTGATGAAGAGAATCATCGATAGATAAAATTTTTCATTTGAATATGCGATGAAAATTATCGCGGGGGTGGCAAAATTGGGTATTTAATTTAATTTTGTTTGGATGTAGGTATAGGTTAAAAGAAAGTGAGGGTTTGGTGGCAAGGTTTCTGAATGCCATTGGTTAGGACAAGTTTCATTACATGAATAGAAGTGTTGTGGAAATAATGTGTTGGAAAGACAGTGACTTATCTTTTGTATTTTCCATGATTTCATTCCGTAGATTTTGAATACTCTGGAATCCTAATTCGGTCCATAGTTTTGAGGGAAATATTTGTCTCGATCGACGTACCCCTGTTAAACGCGTTTACGGTTCAATTTACTAACAAATCACGCGTGAGTAGAAAGAAAATCGCGGCACTTCTGGCACCAATGTAAAGAATGGGTACATTTTATAATAACTAACTGTTTATGAACAATTTTGGGGCAAAATAACTAATAAAAAGAAATACAAAAAGGATTGACACGTCCGCGGACTAGAAAACAAGAAAAAAGAATAACAGGAAAGAAAGAGACGATCGTACCTGAAGGTGGTTGAGAGAGAGAAAAAGGGAAAATACGTAACATCATTTTTAGATTGTGTCGAGTCTGGCGGACCGGGATTCTCCGGAAAAAGTGTATTTTGGTTTTCCTTATTTTGCATTCACCTTACTCTCAGAGTTTTGAGATTGAACCAAAGTATTTTTTTTTGTTTTCATTACTATTATATTAGTTATTAGTTTGGGTGACGACCCACTTTTTTGGATTGGCATTAATTTTCTTCGCTCATTTCATATCCGTTCATAGAATATAGGATTCTTTTGGTTATTCACTCGTTTACTCTATTTAATTTTACTGAACTATTTCCTTGTCCCTAAACCGAAGTAATTAAGTCGAATATAGCACGAGCACACCTGAGAACACATCCGTAACGGTGTGCATTGCACTGCGAGCGCCAGGAAGGCGAAAAGTTCTCAGGAAAGTATTAATACAAATTATTTTCTTTTGGAACTCGTTCCTCTGGACCGAGAGGACGCAATCAGATCATTTCTAATTGCTTGTAAATTGGAGGGATAAATAAGAGGCTAGTTATTCCTTGGGGAACTCATCAGTTCTGAGAAGATATATTTTGTGCAATTTTACAATCGGATGGCACTTCTTCACAATCGAACAGTACACTTGACAAACTTTAGCTTCTTTGAGTCACAAGAGACTCCACTCATTGTCGTACCTGATAATAAAACATAATTAAGGGATTCTTGACCACTGAGTTCGGAGATACTCCTCCGGACCAGGTTCCATTGGAGACATTGTCTGGGTCATTTACCGTCCTATTTTGGGAATTTGGCATAAGTTGGCACAACACGCAACCTATAATTTCTGCTGTTAAGCCGCAGGGTCATCAGAGGCCCCATTCAATTTTCATACATAATAAGTGCACGCGAGAAATAATCTCCGCATTTTCCTTCGTAACATATGGAAGACCTGTTTTGTAATGCTCTAGCGTATTGAGTCATAAAGAGACTCCAATAATTGTTTTGAAATTTAAATAAACAAACAACGACGAGGATTAAATCTCAACTAATTCTGCCTCGTCACAATCTTCTTAGGCGCTAAGGCGAATTTCTGGCCAGTACATGTCTCCCAGAGAATCGCACGGTGATCGCTTGCAGTTCAGATATCAGTTACTCTACATGAGCAGTTCCCCTTTGCAAGGTTGCTGCTCTCGAAGGTAAGGTCCACAATTGAGCTTGCCTTCCCCCTCATGAACGTCGGTTCATCGCCGCTGTTCCGCAGAATCACGTCCAGGGATGACATGGCTTCCAGTATGGCTTGCCCTTTGGTGTTCGTCTCCTTACTTCCCCAGTCGACTGCCCAGGCGTTGAAGTCCCTGGCTATTACGACGGCTATTATGAAGTGCTGCTTCGCATGCTCAGTCAGTCTATCCAGGAAGTCAGTGGACTCATCAATAGAAATGCTCGGTGAGGCGTAACAGCTGTAGAAATGAATTCCATCAACAATAGCCCTCACAAAACCATTTTGTACGCTATCACTCGTGGTACTCTGGAATGGTCGGTTCCCATAAGACCAGATTACGACTTTCTTGGTGGCGTTAGTAACCTAGGGTTAAGTGTCCAGATGACGGACATATGGCTCTGAGATCATGACGAGGTCCACCGTTGGCTCCCGCACCGTTTGCATGAGCAGGTCGTGTGCGTCCTCGCAGTGATTGAGGTTGCGCTGCAGCACCTTACAGTTTTTCCACTTATTATCGCCTTTTATTAGTGAGCTTCTGGAGTGCCTCCTTATATACTGGGCATCTACTACTACCAGCACTGTAGGCACTATTCTCCGTATTTCCTTTTTCGGTGCACAAGGCACATTGAGGCTTCTCCTTGAAGTCTGAGGTCTTATGGCCGGTCGTTGAGCTTTTGGTGCTGAGATTCGACAGGACTGCACTCGTGCATTTCGTGGCAAGGTGACCATAGTGCCAGCACTTGGAGCATTTCATTGGCCTCTCCACTCTCCTTATTAGGCAATTCACCCATCCCATCTTAATCTTGCCATGTTCTCCTAGGATCTTCTTGGCTGTTGCCGCCGTGAGAACCACTGAGCCAGTCTGCGTTCCTCCATATGCCTTCCGCAAGAATTTGACCGTACCTTGACTGATTTTCTCCGGCTGCTGCCCGTAGGGTTTCAAGGACATCTTCCTTCGTTGTGGTCTCATCAAGATCCTCTATCTCCAGTTTCTCTTGTGGCACCTAACTGACTACCTGAACTTCAACTCCAAGGAGACTGGCGATGGCTGTATGCATCTGGGGGGCTCCGTTGGTCGTCTTCTTGCTCAGGATGATCAACATATCCCCGATCGCTGTCCGGCAGATCTTGTCGACACAATCTCGAGCTTGCTTAGCAGGAACATCCTTCTTTACGCGGCGTAGGATCTCCGAGTATTTCTCCTTGTCCTTGGGTCGGACAATCAGGGCATCAGGTCTTGGCGCTGATTTCCAACGATTCCTCTTCTGCTTCTTAGGCTCTTTCTTCTTGGAGGTTGTCTTCCGAAGCTGATCCTCATCTTGTTTTTTCCTTCCTTTCTTAGCCTCGACCAGCTTCCAATCTGACCCTTCAGCAGGTAGCTTCCCCTGCGGGGCTGTCGTGCTGGTCAGATCCTGTTGCTTCAGCTTCTTCAATTTTTGAGCTTCTGCCGCAGGTGAACCTTTCGGGCACTTTCTCCGTACTGCTTTGTGGACATCTCGGGCCGACTGCACGATATTCGGATCCTCTACTTCCGAGTCCTTTGCCGTCGTTTCGGAGTCCATCCGTAAATGCAATGTACGTGATGCTGGTGGAGTTTCCACGGGTTTGTTAAAGGAGGATCGGGCTTTGGTGCGTACCTCCTCCAAACTCTTGAGGCGTTTGAATGCATTGCCTATAGTTGCCACCTTGGATTTGAACTCCTTGTGGACATTTATCCTGGGTTGGACATACTCATGAAGGTCTGCGATGAGTTTTTCAAGTCGTGCCCATGAATGACGACAGTCTATCTCCTGTTGAGTCTGCGACACGCAGACTTCTCCCTTGTAGTATCTGAAGCCAAGGAAGCCACCTTTGAAGTAGATTGTGATGATTGGCTCCTCCCATAATCCATGGAGCCGGCATCAGCCACCGAGGATTTCACTCGATCGCAACTGATGGCGGGATTTACCTTCTCAGGGATACCCGCATGGGAACTTTGTATGTTGTCATCACTGATCATGATCAACTGTAGGCTGTTACGGGGAGCTCACCCGATACTCTTTATGCATGGTGTTATAGAGAGCCCACCCTGCACGCCTGTTTTGGTCCGCGGGAGCTATTTTATTTCACTCCAGTCTGCTGAGTCAGCAAGCTGACCCAGTTAGGACTTCCCCTATCCGTCACCTGGCGATGCGCCGCCGTAGAAGTTGGGCTTCTCCACCAAGCTGCCCTGAAAAGGACAAGCCTCAGCTCGGCAGTGTGTGTTTGTTTTTTCCGAAGTCATGAACGAAGAAAATGCTCTTTACGCACACCTTACAGTTTGGTCATTTCAGCAGGGTAGTGTCCGACTCGCTTAGGGTTGTCTGGTAGTGACCACGAACCGCCATGGTTGATAAAACCTGGCTTGTATTGGTTTGACGAATGTGCAACCCATACGGACTAAAAAAAGAATATGACCCCTGTAGTCTGTGGCCGTTCTTCCCATTGCGGCACCACCGTTAGGAATTACTTCGCGAAGCAGGCCTTAGTAGTTTGCTCTTCCACCTTGCTGCAACTTATGTACGTCTTTCTGCCCCACTAAGAGGTTGTGCACGGGTAGGAGGTTCCAATAGATTCTCTGTCTATTGCGCAGCTTTGCACTCACGTTCTTCATTTCTGAGCTCCCTCATGACCATGGTCGCGAAGTTACTCGTTGCGTCCCAGGCTGCCTGTAATGACAGTAAAACTTTCATCACGTTCGCAGGCAAGACCTGGCTTCCACGTGTAGACTGCCAGGTGCTCGGGATCTCGCTGAAGCGCGGGCATGCGAAGAACACCTGTTCCATGTCTTCATCTACGCCTATGCAGATCGGGCACTCCGGCGAATCTTCATGTTTGAATTTCTGAGGATACGCCCTGAAGCACCCATGTCCGGAAAGCATTTGCGTCAGATAATAATAATTAACCTCACCATGGGTACGGTGCAATCAATCATCTACCTGAGAGATTAGGCGGTGGGTTCATCCCCGCATGGTCGAGGCGTCCCACTGTAACTGCCATCGGTGGATGCTATTGCGCCTCTCTTGTATCCTCAGCTCTGCTGGGCTCAGTATGGTCTATCGCCTCTGTCGGTAGATGGATCTTCGTTCTTCAGCGAGTACTTCAAGGGGCAGCATCCCAGCGATGACACACATTGCGTCCTCGGACACAGGGCAGTATGCGCTGGCAACTCTGAGGGCACTCAGCCGATAAACTAGTGCTACTCTCCGTCGTGATTCCTGCATCAGCAACGCGTTGGCCCATATAGCAATGCCATAAGTAATCACCGATGTGACCACCGATGATAGAAGGGCTTTTCTCCTCTGCTTAGGTCCACCCACATTAGGCATTAGCCGGGATAAGGCCATTCTGACTCGAGACGCCTTGGAACTCGCGTGCTCTGCCTGCTCCTTGAAGCTTAGTCGGATATCGATTATCCCTCCCAAGTACCAGGTGAACGGCTGAGATGTGAGCTTGTATTTGCCGACTTGCAGCTTGATCGTCTCCACACGCTTCCTGGTTGTTATAAGTACAGCTTCCGTCTTATGTTCCGGTAGTTTCAAGTCAACTGTATTCATCCACCGACATATCTTCTCAAAGATGATGTCGAAGATAAAATTGATCTTCTTCCGATATTTTGCCACGATGACTACGGCTACATCGTCTGCGAACGCGAGGAGTCTCGCCCCTCCTGGCAGTTCGAGCTTCAGTAGTCCATCATACATGATGTTCCACAAGAGAGCCCAGGACAGAGTCCTGGAATACTCCCCCGGTAACTCTGTACTCTTTGGGGCCCGTCTCGGTATCATACATGAGGATTTTATCAGGAAAGTAGCTTTCTACCATCCTTGGCAGGTATCCTGGTACGTTCATCCTGTCAAGGGCCTCCATAATACAATCCCACTTGGCTGAGTTGAAGGCGTTCTTTATATCCAGTGTTGTCACTAGACAGTACTTCTTTATCCTTCCTTTCAATCGAGTCCCCGAGATCGCCTCCCTGGCGGTGCTGACTACAAGATCAATAGCATCGAATGTGGTGCGACCTCTCCTGAAGCCGTATTGGTTGGCGGCTAGCAATGGCTCTACTACTGCTTCTATCCTCTGGTGCATGATACTCTCGTTAATTTTCCCGGCTGTATCTGGCACGCAGAGGGGGCGATCAGATGAAGGTTCGTCCGGTGGTTTCTCCCCCTTGGGAAAGAGCACAAGTCTCTACTGCTTCCACTTAGCAGGAAAGGTGCCCTCTTTCAGACACGTATTATAGACATCCAAGAATTGTCCTGGTGCTGCATTAATCGCTCCTTTCAATGCGATGTTGGGGATTCCATCAAGGCCAGGAGCCTCGGTGTTCCCCACTCTGCCGCATGCTTCCTTGAGATATTCTTCCGTCACTGTGGGATCGATACAACCTCCCATCTTTCTGTGGAGTGACGGAGTTCCGGTTGTTGAGGGAACAATACCGCCGCAATCTTCGCTCAGGGCATGTCGAGGATGGCATATAGTGGCTTTTCAGCCGTTTCATGACTACCTTATACGGCCTGCCCACGTATCAACTTCAACTTTATCAAGTAGTTCATTCTAGCATTTCTTCTTACTGCACTTGATCGCTTTGTTGAGCACTCGACGTGCAGTCCTGTACTTCCTATACAGTTCCTCGTAGGTTGGCTTTTTCCGACTTCGCTGTGCTTTTCTTCTCGCCTTCACGCACTCCCTGTGGAGAGCGGTGATTGCATTATTTCACCAGTACATCGGTGGGCGACGATTTCCACTACGTTTCCGCGGCATGGAAGCATCACAGGCCTCAGTTACTTTCCTCATGAGATGTTCGGATTTTTCCGTAGCACTATTGCCACTGATCGGATGATCATCCAGTACCACCAGGAATGAGCTGAGATGAAAGGTGCTCACTCTCCAGCCGACGGCATTCGTCTTTTTAGCAGTTGGTCTATCCCTTTGATCAGTAGATACCTCCCAATGTATTGCACGATGGTCACTGGCAGTGTGGACTCCCATCACCTTACAAGAGTAATTTCCTTTTGCGAGACTGCTGCTCACGAAGATGAGGTCCACAATTGAACTCGCCTGTCCCCTCAAGAACGTAGGTTCATCACCACTGTTCAACAGAACAACGTCTAATGTGAACATAGCTGCGAGTAGTGTTTGCCCTCTTGCCATCGTCTTGATACTACCCCAGTCGACCGCGCAGGCATTTAAGTCACCAGCGATTTCCACAGGGAAGTGCTGCTTCGCGTCCTCAGTCAGTCGGTCAAGGAAAACCGTAAACTCGTTCATAGTGAGGCTCGGTGGAGCGTAGCAGCTGCGGAAATAATTTCCTTGCAGCTTAGTTACTACAAAACCAGCCTCGTTAGTATTGGCAAGACTCTGAAACGGATACCGGTCACAGGCCCAGATGACGGCCTTGGTACTGTCGTCCATGTCCCAGGATTGAGAATGAAGGTGTCTGTACGGTTCTAAGATCATTACAACGTCCAGCTTTAGCTCTCAGACGGTCTGCATAAGCAGATCGTGTGCGACCTCACAATGGTTGAGGTTGAGCTGTAGTACTCTCACTATCGTTTTTTGGCAAGATTCTGGAGTGCCTCCTTGAAGGCTGGGCATCTCCCACAGCCGGCAATGTGAGCACAATTTTCCGTGAGACCTTTCTCGACGCACAAGGCGCATCGAGCCTCCTTTTCGGAGTCGGCGTCCTTACCCCCTCACTCTTACACCTGGTGGCAAGATGCCCGTGGTGCCAGCACTTGAAGCACTTAGGGGTCTCTCTACTTTTCTCACCCGGAATTGACCCACCCTTTTCAGTTTTTGTCATCCTCGCCTATGATCTTGTTCGCTACCGCCGCTGACAGCGTTACTGACATCGTCTGTTTCCCTCCGTAGGTCTTGCGCAGAGACTTTAGCGCATTCAGCGAGATCTCAGACTCATTGCCAGCTGCTTAACACAGGGCTTCCAGAATCTCTTCTCTGGTTGTCTGACCGTCGAGATCTTTAATCTCGATATTCTCCTGGGGCTCTTTGCTGAGGAACTCCGCCGCCTCCTCAAGGAGATTGGCTATGGTCCTCTGCAGTGCCAGCCCTTTTTCTGCACTGTCTTTGGTCAAGACTATCAGCATATCCCCTGTAGCGGTCCTGCGGATCTTGTCCACGCATGCATGAGCCGGTTCGAGAGGAACATCCGATAATTGCCCGATAGATGGGAGAAATGCGTGCAAAGTGACGGCGATTATTTTCAAGATTTGATCGGTATTCATTTTTTTCCAAAACAAAGTCAAAATTGTCGAGAAAAAGCCGACAATTAAGTCATATACCTAATAGCTAAATAGAATACGTTGTATAGAAAAGTCGAATTCTGTTGACTTTTCTATAGAAAATGTTCTATTGAACGTTTGTCTATTCTACGTCTATTCCATTGATTCTGTTCTAATATGTTCTATTGAACGTTTTAAGCTTAACTTCGGTGCACACTTTCAGCCCGATCGGTGTAGTAGTATTCACCGACAAGTTCCTGAGGTATTCAACATTTTGTATAAAACTATTTTGCTAGATATCCTGAAAAATATTCGAGCGATTTCGTTTTTTTCAAAATACTCATCTCGATGTCTTCTGTCTACATCAATCAAAATATATGTACCCGTTCATACAATGTTTTTGAGATATTGCAGATTTTCCATTTTTTCTCTAAATTCCTTTTACTCGCGTTAACTCGAGAAAAAATTAAGATAGAAGGTTGAAATTTGATAGGGTTATGAGTCATAACCCTATCAAATAAAAGCCCCCTACCCTATAAGAATAAAAGTTGGTGTTCTGGATGAGCGATAGGCGATGAGTAGTTCCAGAGATCTTCAACTTGATGTATAATAATATTTTGGTGAATATCTCAAAAACTACTTAACCGATATCATTTTTTTAAAATATTTCTCTCGATGTTCTCAATCTAGATCACTCAAAATTGCACTTTCTCTCTAAATTCCTTCTACGCGTAACAACTCAAAATAAAATCGACATAGGAAAGCCGAATTCAATAACCCAAGATGATGATCGTTATCTATTAACGTTGAGGCTCCATCAGACTGAAACCGTTGGATTAAAAAACATTCATACATAACACCCTCCCTGTCACAGAGACAGGTAATGTGATATACATCGAAACGTCAAATTCTCGGGAGCGGTATATTTTCAAACTAGGCAGGTAAAATAAAAGAGTCGTGCCCACATGTGGAATTATACACTAAGAGAAAAACAGCAGAGTCCTCAAATCAGTCTTGTTCATGCCAAAAAATATTGCTTTAACAATTATCAAAAAAGTATTTTTTTTCTGCTAAACATGCACAATTATTGGAAAGTTTTATAGCAATAATAGATTTAGTCTTTTCAAAAAAAAATTATTCTTTGTACGAGTTATTCGATGCTCTCATACGTATTTTGCATCGGGCAAATGCTCGTTTTATATGAAACGAAGTATAGTTGTTTTCCGTTTCGACTATTCAATAATCACGGACAAGAAATGAATTCCTGCATGAAATAATGATAATGACATAATAATACTCTTGTAACTCAGGGACAAAACAAGCAGGGGTTTGAGCCCGTCCGACAGAAGGCATATGACTTGATGCATTATTAGTCCTTTTTTTCTTTATTTTGACCAATTCCATTGGTTGTGTGACGTGTGCAGACATTCACACGTCGATTTTATTAGCGAGAAAATGTCTGACGACAAATAAGCAGTCACACGGTGTAACTCAAGTCCCGTATCCGTCCAGAAACTGTTTGATGGTGTAGAGGCACTGTCAGTGACTTTATTCAATTGAATTAGGGATGAAAAACCGTGTGAATGCTTATTAAGCATTTTGAACTAGCAACGACTTTGTGACTCTGGAATAAAGCAGAGTACGGGAGGAGTTGGACTTGAAAGGATGTCCACTCGTCGCCAAAAATCTTTGCGTGCGATACTGAACCCATTATCAGTTTGATTTTATATTCAGCTATTATACCCAGTTAATTATATTAATCTTAGCTTAACTGGTGTTTGGTTATTGAGGAGAAACTCTTATCAATCCTCCCCTAAACATCCATAAATGGGCGAATTCTCCGTGAGCTCACCGCCGTAGCACCCGAATCGGAGTGAAACAGGAATAATCTCATGAAGGGAAATATTCTTTAATTGAGTTTAACCGGAGGGTTAAACTCAAAACGTCACATTGGCGTCCAACTTGGGGCACTCATTGAAGGGATTTAAGTGCTTCTGTGAAACCCACAATTGTGAAAAAAAAATCATGCGACGGTTGGTGCAATAAGTTTCGAGAAGGATTTGATAAGTGTTCATGGATACGCGGTTGTGAAGTTTGATCAGAAACTGGTGAAACTCTCGTAGTTTTCGAATTAAGTGAAATGAGTCATTTTCGCTATGTGACTTTTTTGACAGTTCGAGGTGTATTTCGTGCGATTCTGATGTGGAAATTCCAGTGACACGAAGTGTTCGATTCGCCAGATGGGTACAGTTAAGTCGTGTATGTGGCTCCGTTCTGTACGGGAATCGATGGGGATCGCCTGCCATTGAAGCAATAGGGTTCCGAGATTCAGAACGGCATCCGGAATTGGAGAAAAAAAACCTACAAAGCCTGAGATCACCATAAACAACTAAGAGGAGTTCCAATCAGGCATGAAGACCAGTGTGGACCGTACTTCTCACCAAGAGTCTGGAGAAAGAAAATATATAACATTTGATGGTATCACAGTCCGATTAATAACCGCCGAGGAGCTTATGGGGTATGCTTTTCTCAACAGGACACCAGTGATGACAACTTATCAGGAAATGCAGCAAACTACATCCCGATTTACTACCGCAACAAATCCGAGTGTTTCTCGTCTATATGCATGGCCACATTTTGCGCCTTGGGAGTCCGGAGCCTCGATTGGATGGACACAGAGTGATCGGAAATTTGACTCGACAGAAAAATTCTGGGAATCGATCTATGGTCTTCATTGGCGACAGCCTGTGGTGAAGGTAAAGAATAAATCGCAGGCTGGAGTAAAAAAATCAAAATATGACCGAACTGCAGAGGCAATGTTTACCAATTATTTCGCATGCCGCCGAGATGATTTGTCCAGTAGTCGATTGAGAATGACCACAGCCAGAGCTTGGGAAATAATGGCGAAGAACACTCGACAGAATTCAAAAATTTCACTCAGTCGACTCCTTTGTAGAAGAAAAATTCAGCCTGCATCCTGGCAATCAACAGTGGGGAGATATACGTGGACAAAATAGGAAAATCGCAGCAAATAAACCGACTAGTGAGAAGCAGAAATGCTCGTGAAATAATAACGCCGTTGCAGTGGAAGCTAATGACACTGTTATTTAATCCAGGGGGGTCACTTGCATTAGCTGAGCAGCAGGCAGCTGA